CCGGTTCCTTATCTTTCTTGAGGGTGAACTTCTTAGCGGAGGTAGCCTGCTCAGTGGCCCAACCATCGCACAGAGCGATCTCAATGCGTTCTCCCGCAGGTATCAGCTCAGCTAAAGAATTGAAATTAGAACCCAACATTCGATTACGAAACTCGAACGGTAAAGTCTTCATGAAGGTATCGAGCATCTCTTTCTCAGTTAACTCGGGGGTAATTTGCACAGCTAGAGCTCTCCACCTAGTGGCATAGGCCTTGAAGGTCTCAGTCTTTTTCTTCTCATTGCGAATCAAATCCTCATGTGATGGGGCCACGTCAATATTGAATTTGTATTGATGGATGAAAGCATCAGATAAATCCTCCCACGTCTTGAGCGAGTGGATCTTTTTCAAAACGAACCATTGCAAGGGGGGTCCGGTTAAGCTATCTTGGAAAGTGTGGATCATGAGTGGCACATTATCGGCATACGGCGCCATCCTCGTCGTGTAGTATTGTAAATGGACCTTAGGACAGGAAAGGCCATCGAACTTATTAAACTCAGGCGCCTTGAACTTCTTAGGGACTTGAACCTTGACAATGTGAGCAAGACCTCATGAGAATTGATCATCAAAGCCTTGCATTTGATGGAATTTTTCTTCAAGCTTATCAATACGCTCAGCCTCCTCACTCTTTGGTGGCTTAGAAGATGCATCGCCTACATTTGTAACCATCGGACGGACTTTGTCAGTTGAAGTTGCACCATTCTCGATCGAGGAAGTGCCAATGGCAACGCTTTTTCCCTTATCTTTTGACTCGATAGGAGGAGAGTCATGGGGCAGTACGATCTCTACACTTGGTTGAGCGGGTGCAGATAGTGTGGACATGCTTGTCTATAGGGAAGCAACTTGTTTGGTGAGATTCTCGAGCACATTCAGGACTTGCTTCATCTCGGTTTCAAGGACAGCAACACGAGCCTGCTCATTTTGGTCAGTCATTCTTGCTCTTGAGCAAGTACGGATTGGGGAACGTTGACAGTCCGTAATAACCTAATTTGAAAAGGGAGCATGGTAAGTACACGACCTCAAAACGATCGGTCCATGACTCAGTCTAATTGTTCCCTTTTATTCCCATTTTTTTATGACATTTTTCATTATTCCTTGTACTTGCGAAAATGATGGCAAACTTCTCAGGAAATAATGACCCATGACACATCTAGGAAAATAAAGACATAGATTGAAAATAAATTCTCCAAAAGAGCTTTCTTTGTTCTTCTTTTTTTTTTTGTTAAAAAAAAAGGATTCAATGAATATTACTTTCAAATTTAAAACCAACTTAGACCTATCATGGACCGACCCGAAAATTGTAATAACTAAGTTAATTGCAAAAATGAGAGTTCAGAAGACTTACTTCACCCAGTAGGACCATGGCAACCACATAGACGTGCGCATGAAATGTGAGGTTCGATTTCTATCTAGACTCTGGCTTGCAAAGTGGAGACGCGAGGATTGCCGAGCTAAACTAGTCATGGTGGTGGTTAGGCTGGGATTCCCCTGACTCCGGCTTAGTCAAGGAGCCGACCCGGGTTGCAAAAGGTGCAACTGTGGTGGGAACTCAATGACACCATGAAAGAACTTTCGGGACCAAGGAGGGTAACCCGTACCACGCGGGTGTGGTCGGGGTGTCCGCTGTCTCAGTACCATCCTAAACCTGTGCCACCCAGGTCCGGTAGCGGGTAGTGTGTGCAGTGTAGTGTAAATGCAAGGCACGCACAACATGTTATATCATATAGCGCTTCGTGCATAAAATAAACCATTCATCCAAACACCTCTCTGCAAAACAATGGTTAACAATCACGCCTCCCCTTATACCTCCCATTCTGCAAAAACATTTAACACCTAAAATGTTAGGGACGTACCTGGGATCCTCGCTGCCAAACAAAAATATTTTTTGAAAAGAAAAAATGGCCTAAGTCCACTAAGAGTTTTAACTCAAGTCCCCAGCGGAGTCGCCAAGCTGTCGCGACCTAAATTTCTTAGGCTAATGGATTATTAAGACTAAGCCTAACTCGGGCCCTCCCAAGCCCTACCAATTCGCAACTTAGGGTTTAAATTTTTAACATGCAAAAGTTTTCATGCTTGGAGTTGCCACTAATCTATTTGTGGTAGGTCGATTAGAAACCTAAATAAAACATAGGGAGATATGTTTTATTCCTACGAACCAGAGATTCTAAGCTCGGGGACTTGGTTACGCTATATCTAGTCTAACGCCCTTTCGGTACCTTTTCTTTTCAAAAATGTTTATGCAGGCAATCTGGATCCATTTTATTACCTAATTACTAACATGTGAGGTGTTCATGCGGGTGCGCAAACCATCAATTTAACACCCAAGAAAGCAATAAATAAATTGCAAGATTAGGAGAATGACGTACCTTAGAGCAACGCAAGCATCTGCATTGTTAGTAGAAAATCATACAAACAATCCTAATATGATTTCTAATTACCAAAGCAAGGCACTCAAGATGTTCTTTAGGGTTTGCGCTTTATTAAAATGCAAACTAACTTATATGCAATGACGTGCAAAAAATGACATGCGATTAATGCAACCTAGCATGCGAACTATATGTCATGCGACGACGTGACCTAATTCTAATGACGGACAAATGATTTATTTTTTGTATTTTTCCAATGAAATTCGAAATAAAAAAATTGTCTAAATTAACATGCAATCTATCTTAATCTGTCCTAAAGTGACTCATTTTTTTTGGGATTTTCATGGAAATTCGAAATCTAAATATCCTAAATAATCCACAAAGATTAAAACAATTTCTAATTTAAACTAGGAAATATGCTACTCTAAATCCCAATTTAAATCAAATAATTCTCTTACTCTCTTGGATATATTTAGGATTCTTTAAGCATGCAAACTTTTAATTTAAATTCTAACTAACATATTTTTGGATTTTCTTTATTTAAAAAAGAAAGCAATCAAATAAAGATAACAACCGCATTCAAACAATCCACGCAATCCACAAGATTCTTCTTATCAAATTTGGATTAGGAAAAGAAATCAAACTAACGGTCATATCTATAGGGTTATAGATATCGACGAAAAGTTGATTGTTTGAATTTGGAAAGCGAATAAAATCTATTATCGTATACAAGTGATTATGGATAAGATAATGATTTTCCGTATCGCCGCATATCGTACCTTAGGGATAAGATCGGATAGTCGTCCAGATACGTTGCCAAATTAGGTAAAATTCCTAATTTTGAGCATTTTAGAAATTTGCGGATATTGCGTGCATTATCCCTAAGATCTAGCAATCCACCAAATATTCACTGAATATTTAAAACACCTAAACTAGGAATTTAAAATATTCTAAAAAAACATTGGATATCGATCGTACCTAATTTGGCGGATATTTCCAAATTTGAATCGCCGGGATTGCGGATCGGGACCGGGTGGAGCATACGGCTGGCGGGTGGCTGACGGCGGGTGAGGCCACGGGACTCACGACTGATTGGAGAGCTCGCGGAGCGACCTCAAACGAGCTTTATGAGATTGGACTGGTACTCTCGGTGTGCAGCTGCTCGTTGTGAGGGGACTCGTAGCGAGGCTCACAGCTCTCGAAGAGAAGTCTCGATCTTCAAAGCTCAGACGATGTGCTCCGTCTTTCTATCTATAGTGTCTCTTCTTCCCCTTTTGGCGCTTTCTGCACGTGGAATTCAGTGGGGGTGCAAGAAGAAAGAGGAAAAGAATAATAATGGGATGCAAATATTGGATATTGATGAAGAATCAGCCTGCCCTTTTTTGTCTTCTTCTCCTCAACAACTTATATTGGCCCCGTGAAGAAGCTAAGATTTGGGCGAGAATTGTTGAAGTGAAGTGTGGATGACCAGTGCACTCCGTCACGAACGTCTTCTTCCTCGTGTACCGTGGGTGTTGCCGAGGAAGCAACACTAGCCTCCCTCTCTATTTTTTTTCTCCGCCGTGAATAGTCAATTGTGAAGCTCCCCTCACGATTTCATCTCTTTATTCTCTGGCCGTCTCTCAATGTGGCCGTGTGATTCAATTGTGTGGCCTCGTGGCTTGGCGGTGAAGCTCAGCAGATCAGTTCAGGGGGTGTCGGCATCGGGGAACAGGTCTGCAGCATGTCGAGGCTGGAGCAAGAAGCAGCTGCGACTGTCGAGGGATCCTCGGCTCGGACGGAAGCAGTAACTCTTCCCGGTGCGGGGCAGCGGCGGGCGTCAAGGGACAGCAGCAGCGGTGATTGTCGAGTTACAGCAGCTGCGGTGATCGTCGCGGTGGTGGCTCGCGGGATTGGCGACGATGAGGAGCGGTGAAGACGGTGCGGTCGCGAGGCGGCGCAACGGTGGGGCGGGCACGTGCTCGAGCTACTCTCTCTCTTACTCTTGTTCTTGGTCACGTGTCTCCGTGCTCTCAAGAATTGTGTTCTGGAAATAGTTATGAAAGCCCCCTTGATTAAGGAGTATAATCACATATTTATATCGCAACCCTAGGTTAATTGGCCGGGCTTTCAAGACCTAATAAGCTTTGGCTTAGGCTTCATCCTTTAATTTTGATTTAATTCCAAATGGGCTGAATTAATTTGGGCTTTTCTTTAATTAAGCTTAATGGGTTGATTTAAGCTCAAATTAAGATAATCAAGGCCTTTTGGACTCATGATCTTCGGCCCCTATCCCCTAGGTGAGCCGAGTTCCGTTTGGTGTCCGAGCTCGATTTATGCGATGGATTTTCAGCTTACTCATCGCCGCCGATCCAATGTGGAATGTAATTAAACTATATGATCCTAAACTATATGCTATGCGATTTTGATATTTTTGTTTAGGGGTTAAAATTTAATCCCTAATTTTCTATGCAATTAATTACTAAATGATGTGCCAAAATTTAGGTGTCAACAGATCTACTCAAAGGTAACTTTGATAGAGACATGTTTTGAAGACATAAGAGAATAAAGTCAAAAGGTACACTTAGAAGTCTGAAATCTGAAATTGATCCACTGACCATACTGAAATTCACATTGGCATCAGACTCTGAACACAACTTCAAACAACCTTCATTTTGCTTAAGAGTGCTACACAATGTCCAGTTCTTTGCCCCCTTGTTTAAATGATTTGATTAGGCTGTAAAGGTGAAAAGGCAGAAGAAGATAATCTAATATCTCGAACATTAACAGAACCTACCCAGGAACAACGGGGTATCTTGTGAATCCCCATTCAATCTTGGCAATGTAATCGTCAGAATGACAAACCCCACAGTAGAGGATTTTTACAGTGACATCTTCATCACCATTTTCCCCGCAATACAGTACAGATAGTGTCACACATGCCATTGGATGGTCGTCAAATGCATTGCATCCCCTACTTTGAGGAGCAGATTCAATTTGTTTGTTAGAAAGGTGTTTGTTCCCAAGTTGAGTTAAATATATTCTGTATCAAATTAATTAATCAGAAAAACTGCATTCACAGATGCATCATCAGCACCAGCTAAATTTCAAAATGAGATGGTCAAATAAAGAACGCCCATCCAGGGATCAGATATCAAAGAGGTTTCAATAACGATAGAAAACCAACCCTTAAAAGCTCTAGCTGTCATCTCACTAAGGAGAACATCAGCTCAAAAGAAAAGTTTCCCTGAGATCAATTGTATACCTTTCAACTTTCCTTTTCCTCTGTTTTCATCCCTATAACCTTTTCTTTATCTCGACAAACCTATCACCTCAAACCATGTGTTTTTTTGCCATCCTCTGGCTATCCACTGGAGACTAGTCTAAAACTCGAAATAGTGTAACCTTAGGGTCAATTATAAAACAAAACTTTCACAACATGTCCATGACTAATTTTTGGCCATAACTCCAGGCATAAGAAAGCGATACGTCCTTCTCAGTTTATTCAGGAAGAAACAATCTAATCTACTTTATTGCACTGCAGATCTGATAAAGAAAGCCGTGGAAACCCCCTTGACCTGGAGAACTATTGTATTAGTCAACCAATACACGGCCAAAAGTAAAACTCGGACCCCCACCAGAATATTTTATCACCTAATCCACAAGTAAACAAATCAGCCATGGATCGCACAAATCAACAGCGCCGACCAATGCGAGAGAGGCACGTCCAGAACACACACACACACACACACTCTCTCTCTCTCTGATGCCGAAGCGCGATAAAAATTAGGCTAAACAGAAGAATCGAAAGATAACGAGGAACAAACTGTTCTCTCAATTGATTAACAATCAAAATATCCAAAATCTGATAAAACGAAATCCTAAAACAAGTTTATATATCCTCAAACCTAACCCTACTAGGATTAGTAAACATCAAAACGTAAAATTACGAAACTGCCCTTTACTAAATTAACCCATAAAAAATACTAAAAAAATAGAAAAACCCATCTAAACGACCCCGAATCGCGAAAATCCATCATTATTCGTAGCCAAAGGCTACGTGTATTGATCAGCACGCCGACCAAATTTGAGCTCAATCCGACATCGTTGACTTCAAGTCCGCCGGTTCGTCCAGTCGCATAACGGGTCCGCCGGTCCCCTAGGTGCATCATCCTCCCCTGCTAGAGAAAGATTCGTCCTCGAATCTGCTTCGTCTTCATTGTCGTCAATCTCTTCAGGGTCTTCTTCCTCTTCAGTGTAGTAAGGTGACAAATCTGCTACATTAAAAGTTCCAGAAACATTGTGCTCACCCGGCAACCCAGGTGGCAACTCTTCCGGTACGACATCAGCAAACTCCTCAAGCAAGGGCAGAATTTGGGTAGAAATTTCGGGACTGTCAGAATTCCGCTTCATCACTACAATGGCAAAAAGCCCAGGCTCGTTCACTGCCTCTTCTTGAAATTCTGACATGGACACTAGATTATTCTTCACTTCCTTTCTCAAATCCGAAGGACCTAGGGTAATGGTTCGGCCATCCTTCTTGAATGCATAGGTATTTCTGAAACCATCATGCTGTGTCTTTCTGTCAAACTGGCACGGCCTCCCCAATAAAATATGGCAAGTATCCATTGGGACTACATCACACCACACCTCATCGATGTAATTTTTTCCAATTGAAAATTGCACAAGACACCTTTTGCTCACCTTCACCTCGTTCCCTTTTCTAAGCCACGACAGCTTGTATGGTTGAGGATGATCTTCTGTTTTCAACCCCAACTTTTCCACCATAGTCGTGGACACCACATTCTCGCAACTCCCACCATCTATTATCATGCTGCATACTTTTCCTCTACTAGTACACTTAGTATGAAAAATATTATGTCTAAGCCATGATTCATCATCCGCTACAGCAACATTTAATATTCTTTTAACGACTAGGGACTCACCAGAATCAGCATAGATAATCTTTTCCTGTTCCGCATCCGCATCCTCTTCTTCGCCTTTAGATTCATCATAAACTGAACCTTCATCAAAGACTGGATTATCTACAAGCGTCACAATCTGTCGGTTCGGACAATCAGCAGCAAAATGCCCGAATCCCTAACACTTGAAACACCGCTTGGCTGCAGTTCCTCTCCTGCTAGTTCCAGCACTACTCTGCCCCTCGTTGGATGCAGATTTAGAATTCGCATCCTTAACTGCAACTAATGTCGAATTTACTGCAGATGTTCCCGCTTTTCCTTGGGATTCTTTATCTGACCACTTGGAACTGCTGCTTGACCACTTAGAATTACTGCTCTTTCTTTTAAAATGCCCCTCCACCTTTAGGGCTAGTCTGCACACATCCTCATATGTCAAATACTGCTGTAATTGGACAACATCAGAGATCTCATATCGCAGTCCTGCCAGATATCGTGCAATCGTCTGCTCGTTTTCCTCCGCCACATCACAACGCATCCGCAAGCGATCAAATTCTTCTGTAAATTCCTCAACTATTTTATCACCTTGCTTGACGTTATGATACTCGATAAACGCCTCTTGCCTATAATGGGTAGGCAAAAATTTCTTTTGCAATAATTTCTTCATCTTATCCCAGCGATCCACCTTCGGCTTCCCCTCTCTAGCGCGTTGCTTTTATACGTGTTCCTACCAAATCGAAGCATGTTTTCGCAGCCTAATAGCCACTAACTTCACTTTTTGCCCCTCAGTTAGGTCTTTAAGATAAAAAATCCGTTCTACCGTATGCAACCAATCAATAAACTCATCAGGATGAGCCTTACCATTAAACTCGGAAATCTCGATCTTCATTATGAAATTTTGAGAAGAGCGCTGATTTCCAGGTCGTACTCCTCGATTCTGCCTCTGGTTCAGAACCCCGAAAGGGTTTACGTCCTCCTCTTCATCATCGGATGGATCCTCAGATTCTGCTTCTTCTTCGGATTGAACGCCCAACCTCGCCTCCGCAAGTTGTCGCTCCAAATCCTGGATTCGTCTTTTCTGTTCTTCAATTTCTACGTCTCGCAGATCTCTTAGACGCGGTTGGTCGTCTGCTTCAGGAACGCCTCCACGCCCCCGGCCACCACGAGCCCGCCATCCACGACCGCGATTCTGTTCAGCCATTGATTCAAGCAACCTGTGCTTTGATACCAATTGATGCCGAAGCGCGATAGAAATTAGGCTAAACAGAAGAATCGAAAGATAACGAGGAACAAACTGTTCTCTCAATTGATTAACAATCAAAATATCCAAAGTCTGATAAAACGAAACCCTAAAACAAGTTTATATATCCTCAAACCTAACCCTACTAGGATTAGTAAACATCAAAACGTAAAATTACGAAACTGCCCTTTACTAAATTAACCCATAAAAAATACTAAAAAAATAGAAAAACCCATCTAAACGACCCCGAATCGCGAAAATCCATCATTTATCGTAGCCAAAGGCTACGTGTATTGATCAGTACGCCGTTTCGCTTCAGCCGACCAAATTTGAGCTCAATCCGACATCGTTGACTTCAAGCCCGCCGGTTCGTCCAGTCGCATAACGGGTCCGCCGGTCCCCTAGGTGCATCACTCTCTCTCTCTCTCTCTCTCTCTCTCTCTCTCTCTCTCTCTCTCTCTCTCTCTCTCATGCACGACTCCATTCGCGAATGTTCACATGCGCGAGTCCGCAGACGGATCGCCAAGAGAACCACAGCGAATCCACACGAAACATGAACCCGCACTTGTAGTCCAAGCATTATCGCTAGCTAGGTGGATAAAGCCGAAAAAAACGAACGCGATACGATACCTCCGAGAGAAATGGAAGGGCGAGAATAGGCCAGACTTGTCTCGGGCAGCCCAACCGAAAGCCTTTTGAGGATGCTCTTGCTCCTGTGATTCCGCCATCACTTGCCTCTCCAATCAACGAAGCAATGAAAAGCAAATGAGAGAGGGAAAGAGAGAGATGCGTCAGAATCGGCAAAGAGTCTTCTTTCTTCGTGCTCCATACCTTTTTGACGGAGAGAGCCAGAGAGGTTGACGACGGTGGACCATTGCAGAAACGAGCTGGTGACACTGACAGAGTGACAGGCGAGGACGTGAACGTGAACGTGGAGCTTTTAAAGCTCTGGATTGACCTTGCCATATCAGCATGCCACGTGTCATCACTTGGTGCTCTCTCGACTCTGACCTTCTTGAGCATATTATTAATCTCCACCAATGATTAGTCATCGGAGCGCGCGGGCTCGTAGATTTAGGCGCGTCTTGCATTGGGGAGGTTTGACGAAAATCAATTCCGAAGTATGGTTTGATTGAACTATTTCTGAAGTTTCGTGTGCGAGTTACATATAACGGACAATACGCGTAACAAAGAAAGATGAATTTTCACTATAAACGAGTTTTTTCATTAGCACATAGGAGTCGTTTTATCAATTAATAAGCGTAGTTAGTCGAGTCATTCGTTAGACTAATGTATTATGCAGACTTTGATATCATTTTTTGATTAATTGATAGGACTACAAGTATGTCGACTTAAGTAACCTTCGAATATTGGTTTTCAGCTTTCCCATGTGAGTAGTACCAGCTCTTCTATGAATTTACAAACTCGTTCTTGAAAATGATAGAGATTTAATATAGTACCAGTTATGAAAGAGTATATTTCTTGCATAAATTGGATCGAGCTTTTATTACCTTTTTAGTCGATTGACAAGGCATTGGAAGGTATTATTTGAAATAGTTTGAAATGATCATTTGTAACGTTTTGATTAAATGCCCTATGAAGGGAATTGCCAAAAGCTATATGTATTGATTGCGAAATATTTTATAAAATGCATTCTATTTGATAAATGAAATTGTGAAAGGTTATATGATTTGGTTTGTGAAACCGGTTTACGAAATGATTTCTGTTGGTTGTGAGTTATTGGAGATTGAGATTGATGAATTGTGCTCATGATGCTATATTAGAACCCATTGAGGGATTAAGTATGCATACTGTTATGAGATCATCCTTTTAGGCTGAATCACCGGCTAATATAGGTGGAGACCTAACCAATGGGGTAAACTTGGTTGCTTTTGTCATGGGTGTTAAGCATGACCATAATCAAATGTTGAACATTTTGTTATTCAATGGAATGTATCATCAACATTGATTTGATTGAGATTAATCAATGGAAAAGACCATTGATGGCTGATATTATTGATTGATCTTTTATGTAAAAGTTTTATTGGAAACTTATCATCCGATTTTGATAATTTACACATATCGTATACTCGAATTGGAATTGATGGGTGATGATACGATTTTATAAAGATGCATGGTGAATTTTTTAACCACATAGAAGAGATGTATTTTTCATTGGACTGTAGTTTTTCATTCCATTCATCTTACTTGCTTTTCAAGTTCTTCAACAAGCCGCAAGTAGAACGAGAGCGTTATTTTTATCAGGAAGACATTTTGGTAGTGATGATTTTTGGGTATGAGTTGTATATAGCTATGACTACAGGTGAGCGGTTCCAGGTTTCTTACAAATTCCACTTGGAACTTGGAACTTATCATTGGGTAGAGGTTCTTCATTTTTTGGAACCTAGAACCTACCCTGTCACAAGTTCCAAGGTCAGTTCCAGGGTCTATCTGGGTTCCACCTGTATTATTAATTGAACAATTGTAGAGAATCATCACCTTTAATAATCACCATTTACTGTTACGAACCACTAATCACAACTTATATTTAGATATACGAAGGATATAAAACATTAACAGTTCATAAAATGAAAGTTCAAAGTAG